GCTTGTGTTTTGCTCCTGCCCCAGCTTCTCTCTGGGCCTGCTCATTGGCAACATAGTATGGAGTAGGAGGGAAGGCATCTCTTTAAAAGCAACTCAACATAGGGCCTGTGATTATCACTGCTGTATTGTACACTTAAAAATGTGTTAAGAGGTTAGATTTTATGTTAAGTGTTCTTACCTCAAAAGGAAAAACAATAGGAACAACAACAACCACAATAAAGGAGGTGAGAGGAAACTTTTTGAGGAGATGGAAAAGTTTACTGCATTAGTAATGGTGGTTGTTTTAAGGGTGTATCACTTATGTTCAAATATATCAAGTTGTATACATTAAATATCTGTAACTTTTTGTATGTCAATCTGATTTCGATAAAGTGGATTGAAAAAGAAAAAGACAATCTCACATCACTCCCACGGGTAGAACTTGTGGGAGCTGGGACAGATTGGCTCACATTTCTAATGTTCTTTTTCCTTGCAGAAGAGTAACATTGAAAGCAAATTATCCTGTGCCTTAACTGAAAGTCCTTGATTTCTGAAGGGCGAGTGTTACACAGTCGCCCATGTTTCATCTGGAAAAAACAGAAGTACACAGGAGAACTTGATTAGTGCAAAGTCACCTCCTTTTCCCAGTGTCCAGTTATTACTTGCCTGGACTGGTTGGGCTACGGTCGTCATTAACAGGAGTGAAAGAGTAGACTGGGAACTTAGAGAGACCTGGGTTCAAGTCTGAACTCTGTCATTTACTATTGAGTGACCAGAAAATGATGTAACTCCCAGTTGTGCCTCAGTTTCCTAGTCTGAACAGTGGCCATCAACCCAGATGCTTGTTTTAAGGATTATGTAAGTAACGTATTATTATATTAGAGGAGGAACAGTAAGCCTTCAGTATATGGTAATATTAAATGCAATAGAGACATATAAATCCAAGATTTCTCAAATCTTTACCACCCTCCACTCCCCACAACTGGGTGAAACAGATGCTCTGTGTCCCGTGTCACACCTCCTTGGCCCACTTCTGACTTTACTGGTGATCACAGACATTTTAATTCATTCTGAGTACTTCTTCCACTTTACATTGGTGCCCTTTCTCCATACTTTTCTGCTTTTGTACTTTCTTCAAAGCCGTGGGAGTAGGCAAAGCCCAGGGGCAACCTTGCGTCAAACAAGGATGACAGTTGATGGCAAATGCCCTGGTCCAGCCTTTGGATAGACAATTCCCTAAGGTATTCTAACAGAGTCCTGACGGAATTGAGTGCTCGTTGTAGCAATCTTGGCAATAACTCTGTATTGAATTTTCTTCTGCCTTGTCTCACTGTTTCTGTTCCCTCATTCCTATTTACTAGAAACATGTCTTCATTACACTACCTTCACCCAAGGCCCCGTCTCAGGCACTGCTTTCGGGACCCCAAATAAAGATTCCGGAAATTTTTTATATAACCCTCTGTCTCATGCTTAAGAATTCTCATGTTTAAAGATTTTGCTAAAATCCAGTAGCTAAAGACCACTGTAGCCAAACAAAGGTAGATTATTAACTTGCTACAGTTAAGAAGAACAAATCAATGGAATGAAGTATTTCAAAAGGAGAGAGTTAGGGAAGCATATCTACAGAGTGTGGGGGATCTGGGGTTATTCACAGGATGGTTTTCACAGGGATTTTATCTTTGGAACATGTGAATTCATGTAGAGTTATGGTTAGATCGGTTTATCTTTCATCTTTATTTACATGGTCTGAGCAAACTGTTATAGAAGGATTTGAGCTTGGGGGCAGGTGCCATGGCTCACGCCTGTAATCCCAGCACTTTGGGAGGCTGAGGCGGGTGGATCACCTGAGGTCAGCAGTTTGAGACCAGCCTGGCCAACATGGCGAAACCCTGTCTCTACTAAAAATACAAAAAATTAGCAGGGCATGATGGCAGGTGCCTGTAATCCCAGTTATTCAGGAGGCTGAGGCAGGAGAATCGTTTGAACCCGGGAGGCAGAGGTTGCAGTAAGCTGAGATCACGCCTTTGCACTCTAGCCTGGGCAACAAGAGTGAAGCGCTGTATCAAAAAAAAAAAAAAAAAAAAAGGAAATAAAAGAATTGGGGCTTGGATAGTTTGTGATGCTGACCTTAGATTGTGTTGGCCCAGTTAATTTGATTTGTGTTTTGGAGCTGTGGTTTTATGGGTTTTCTTTAATTTTCAGTTCTCTCTTTATAGGTCAGCTACTCACAGGGACAACTTTCCCCCTTTTACAAGTTTTAGGTTTGTATTTCTCAGGGTTCTCCAGAGAAGCAGAATCAAAAGGAGATATATAGATAGACAGACACATACATAGATAGATAATAGATATAGAGAAATAGAGACATTTGTGTTGAGGAATCAGCTCACGCAGTAGAGACCAGTGAGTCCAAATTCTGCAGGGTGGGTCAGTAGACTGGAGAGTCAAAGTGGAGCCAACATGGCAGGCAGTTAAGTCCTCAGGCCACATCTGTTGAGAGAATTCTTGTTGCCGAGGGAAGGTCAATCTGGTCTATTAAGACCTTCATCTAATTGGATGAGGGCCACCCACATTATGGAGGGCAATCTCCTTTATACAAAGTCCTCTGATTAAAACATTAATCTCATCTGAAAAGATCACCCTTACAAAAAAATCCAGGAAACATGTCTGACTAAGTATCTGGGCACTGTGGTCCAGCCAGTGGACATGTAATATTAGCCATCACAAGGTCATATAATTTTTTCTAAGCCACGTTATCACAACTTTGTTATTCTAATCAGTAAGGCATTCCTAAGTCATTACTTGACAGTCGTAGAAGGATAATTGAAAGTATAATTATATAATTATAATTGAACTGTATAATTCAATTACACAAAGTATAATGGAAGGTTTTTTCTATTTCTCTATTGCTGTCTGAGAAATGAAACCTACAGTAAGGTTATAGGTAGAAAAATGGAGAAGAGAAAGTGTGACTTACCCAAGTGTGCACAGTGCCAGGAAGCCTGGGCTCCCGCCTTCTGTTTGCTCAGCCTTAGGATAGGTGACCAGATGTACATACAGCTGGTATCCTTCAGGATGGGATTTGAAGGCTATAAAAATCGCCACTATAAATAATGGCCCTGTTACAACCCTGGTAGTCCTACTATTAAAGTTTTATTACTTTGCATTAAATATCATCCTCTTAAGCTACTCTTTAAAAAAACCTTAATATTTTAAACCCAACGTTTCTAAAATATAATCATTTCAACATATTCTTAAGATAAAATTGATACAGTTTTACATTGTTTTTAGCAATTTTTATTGTGGTAAACATATATAACATAAAATTTAACATTTTAAACATTATGTGTGCAATTCAGGGGCATTAAGTAAATTCATATTGTTGTACAACCATAACCACTATTTCCATAACTTTTTTTATCATCCCAAATGGAAACTCTGTGCCCATAAACAATAACTCTCCATCCTCCCCTTCCCCAGCCCCTGGTAAGCTGCATTCTATTTCTTTCTTTATGAATTTGCCTATTCTAGATACCTTATATAAGTGGAATCATATCACATTTGTCCTTTTGTCATCTGGCTTATTTTATTTTTACATAATGTTTTCAAGGTTCATCCATGTCGTAGCAGGTACTAGATTTTTAAGGATGAATAATATTCCACTGTGTGTGCAAACCCCATTCTGCTTATCCATTCATCGGTTGATGGACATTTGGGTTGTTTCTACCTTTTGGTTATTGTGTATAATGCTGCTATGAACATTGGCACAGAAGTCTTTGGCCTATTTTTTTTTTGAGTAAAAGTCTCACTCTGCCACCCAGGCTGAAGTGCAGTGGCAGTGATCTTGGCTCGCTGCAACCTCCACCTCCCAGGTTCAAGTGATTCTCCTGCCTCAGCCTCCAGAGTAGCTGGGATTACAGGCACCCACCACCACACCTGGCTAATTTTTGCATTTTTAGTGGAGATGGAGTTTCACCCATATTGGCCAGGCTGGTCTCCAACTACTGACCTGAGGTGATGTGCCTACCTCAGCCTCCCAAGCATGAGCCACCATGCCCAGCCTGGGCTATTTTAAAAGTTAAAAATCTTAGGACAGAGGGAAGGGGAGGGGAGATGGTAAGAGTATATAAACAACTTGGATCATGGTGGGAGACAGTAAGGGATTAGCTGTTCACAGAAGAGGGAGAAAGAAATCCACTATTCATTAAATTGTCAACATGGCTATGTTCTTAGGCATTTGGAAGTAGGCTGGAGGATATAAATTGAGGTAAAGGAATGGACGGGAAGGTAGGAGAAGACTGAGATTGTGTGGAGAGACATAACAGAGTCTAATCTTGTAAAATGAGGCACCTGACCTCATTATTTGAGAGTGGGGCCCAACACTTGAATCTCCACTTTCACAGAGCATGGGTATACTTTATTTATTTATTTATTTATTTATTTATTGCATTTTAGGTTTTGGGGTACATGTGCAGAACATGCAAGATAGTTGCATAGGTACACTTTCATTTCTTCAGAGAAATCACCCATATCTTCCATTGTGTTTCCTCCCCTTAGTCCTGGCCTACACACATTGACTAACTGCATGACTTTGGAAGCCACTTTACTGCCTCTGAACAATGAAGCACAGTTTAGTGCTCACATATCTATATGCTAGCAGAGCCCATCATCAGTAGACATCAAGTACCTGTGGTTCCCTTCTCCTAAGAGAGCCTATGGTATAGAGTCTCCCTCGTGGTTTATCTACCCAAGTCCAGAACCCAAAACCTGTTTAGTGAAGCTACAGAAGGAACATATAGGCCCAACGATTGTGTTAAGATTTCAGCCGCTCACTGGATCTACTTTACAGTACAGTGGGAATATCCTACCTTGAAAAAAGATGCATTCAGCATCCTTACCACTGTGTGAACGATTCCAGTCAGGATTCCTGCACTGGTGAGAAAGAAGACTAGGAAATCTCTCACATCTCCAATTCTGATTTATAGGATTCTATAAATGTAAAATCAATAGGTATAACACTCAGCAAAACTTAAAATAAAATTTTATTTTATCTCATACTTAAGTTCAGACAATAGCATGTGGTGTACATTCAAAATTTTTGACAGGCACAGAGCACATTAAAAAAATGAAGACATGATCAAGGATCAGATATACCACAACATTCTCCCTGAATCTGGAAAGAAGCAAGCAATAAGACCATGAAAGGTGGCTGTCATACAGGAAGAGTATTCTAGATTTGTTGTCCACAGCTAGGGCAGGGTTATCTCTCACCACAAGTACAGAGCCATTGGTGTTAGCGTATAGCAGAGAGAAAACAGAGGATTTGTACAGCTGAGGAAATAAATGGCAGATGTTACACAGGAAGCAATATAATATGGTAGTTAAGTAACTGTATTCAATTATCCAATTTAATTTTAAACCTTGGCACAATGCCCACAAGCTGTGTGACTTTAGTTCCCTTGCTAATATAAACTTAATTTCTCTCAATTATAATAAAGGGACTCAAATGGTACCTACTCCATAAAATTAGGAAGAGCACATAAAACCCATAAAGCACTTATCATAGTGCCCAGAACATTGTAAGTGCACATGATATATTCATAGGCATTATTATTCAGGGCTTTATCAATTCCCAGATAATGCATAATAACAGTAGAGATTGTGACAAGCCCTGGCTTCCATAAATTGGTCAGCTTAATTTTTGCTATTTCATTTGATATGAAACTATATTTTATGCTTTGAGACAGGGTCTTGCTCTGCTGCTCAGGCTGAAGTGTAATGATGTGATTCTGGCTCACTGTAACCTCAAACTCCTGGACTCAAGTGATTCTCCCACCTCAGTCTCCTGGGCAGTGGGGGCTACAGTTGCATGCCACCATGCCCAGCTATTATATTTCCTCTTTAAAAAGTTGTACATGACAGTTAACCAATACTTTCATAATAAAAAAATTGAAAGTAGAGACAACACTAAATCATTAGTAATCTGAGCACATTTCCTCCAAGGCATATGCTATTTTTCAACTTGGTTTCAATCAAGTATCTTTATTGTTTTTCTTAACATTATAAGCTTGTTTGGTTTTATAGTTCTCATTAAATCACATAATACTCCATTAATATGTATTATTCCACATAATAGTCTTCTAAGTAGATGGATCATATTTTTGTTGATTATTCCATCCAGAGAAAAGCACTCATGTGCTTGTGGGCAACTGGAACTAAGCTAGTGTTATAAATAATTATGTTTGTCAAGCCATTGAAGACAAGGGGAAGTGTAACGTTAAGGGTCACTTGCCTCCCACAGCCTGAAGGTCCTTGTCACAGCTGATCTTGAACATAGCCAGCACCCGCGTTCTGATATGTTTGGTTTTGGCGCCGTAGATGATGGGATTGATGACAGGAGGCAGCAGCAGGTAGATGTCACCCATGACAACACGCACAATGGGATGAAGGCTGTTTCCAAAGCGGTGTACCACTGAGAGGCCAATAAGTGGCACATAGAAGGCAAGTACCACACCAATGTGTGACACACATGTCCCAAAGGCCTTGGCCCGCTCTGACTTGGAAGGCAGTTGTAGCACTGTCCGTATTATCAGAAAATAGGATAAGGAGATGAACATTACATCCACGCCCATGACCAGCAGAATGGCAGTAAGACCATATACCACATTGGGTAATGTGTCTGCATAGGCCAACTTCATCACATCCTGGTGCACACAATAGGAGTGTGAGAGCACATTGGAGTGGCAGAAGGCCAGTCTCTTGATGAGCAGAGGCAATGGGAAAAAAAAGAGGGATCCGCGGACCACAGCCACGATGCCAATCTGGGCTGTTACTGTATTGTTGAACACGGCAGCATGGCGCAGTGGGTGGCAGATGGCCACATAACGGTCAAAGGCCATGGCCAGTAGGATGGTGGATTCAATGGCTGAGAGGGCATGAATAAAGAACATCTGGGTAAGGCAGGCCTCATAGCTAATCTCTCGGGAATCAAACCAGAAAAGGGCAAGTATCTTAGGCATGGTGGATGTGGATAAGGCCAGGTCAATGGCTGCCAGCATGCAGAGAAAGAGGTACATTGGAGTGTGCAGGCTGCGTTCCGTTCTTACAATGAAGACCACGATGCAATTTCCAAATACTGCCATGACATACATAGAAAGGAGGGGGAAGCCAAACCAGAAATGGGCTTCCTCTAATCCTGGGATACCAATAAGCACAAAAGTGGCATGTGTAAAGTTGCAGGAACTCATAGCTGGAACTGAGGAGAGGTGACTGGAGAGGGTGAGGTTGCACCGGCGGTCTGCAGGGACATAGAGCACAATCAGAGAATGCCCTGGAATCTTGAAACTGACATCCTACCCCTTTTGTCTCCTCCCACCCCAACTTAGGGTCTTTCATAAGCCCTGAAGCCCTCTTCCAAAGCGGGGACTGTGACAGCTCAAATTCATTTATGCGTCACTACTTTCAAGGTTTATTTAAAATTTTAAAAGGCAACCATGAGAGAGCAATCCTTTTTCCAAAATGTAGCCTTCTCAAATTCCCTCAGATACTTCCTGCTGGTCTATAGCTTTGGTGGCCCTTTTATTCTGATAGGTGTTAAGAGATACAGTTTTGGAAGCTCCTTCCAGATAAGGCTGCCTTTCTTATGTTACTTTCCGCACATTCCTCCCTCCCTCCCTCCCTCCCTCCTCCCCCCTCCCCCTCCCCCTCCCTCCCTCCTCCCCTCCCCCCTTTCCTTCCTCCCTCCCTCCCTCCCTCCCTTCCTTTCTTCCTTCCTTCCGGGAGAGGCATGATCACAGAGGAATCTTCCTATTTAGACTTGAAACATGAGTTGAAATTAGACAGAGAGTGGAATAATGGGTCTTCCAAGGCAGTGAGGATAGGAGATAACTTTGCAACTTTCAGGATTCCCAGTCCTCAATTCTAAGGTCAGCCAGAGGAATAAGATGCACAGCAATGGCATTGTTTTTTAAAACTTAAAAGAATATAAATAAACAAAAACCAAGAAAAATAATTCCAAAAGTCAATCTTTTTAGGATTAAAGGAAACTCATCTGTGGTCATAAAATCAAAAGTAGTGGTTCCCTCCAATGACTTCTTCATAGACAAAGGTGCTGGCAGGATGGCAGGACACAGGTGAGTACCTCCACACCCAAAAGCTTCCTACAAGGCCATTTGAATTGCATCCAAGGATAGTTTGAGTTGAGTCCTTACTTTGGGAGAAGTATTATTAATTTTACAATGATATTTTTAGAGCCTTGTCTTTCCTGAAACTTGTGCCAGTAAGTCATTCATCTCAGGGGGAGACATTTCTTTTTTAGAAGCCCAGTGTTTCTTTACCTCAACTCCGTACCCTCACCCACACACCTGGGCTCTGACTTCATGAAACTTCTTCTCTGCTAGGTTTCCTAGGTGACCTAATCTTTAGAGATAATTTTCTCTAAAAATCCAAAGCCTTGGCTGCAAGAAGCAGAGGCTCTAACTCTTGGAAATAAACTATGCAGGTGTCTTCATTGATTATCTGTCACTGAAACAGGTTAACCTGCTTATATTGCAACCCCCCACCCCAGAATTCTTCACTCATCATCCGAGTTCTTACTGCAGCTGGGAGATGCCCTTCAATTTGGTCTTAATGGAGAGGGGTTAGATACCAGTGGTCTTAAAGTACAACATGATAAAATTAGTACAAAGAGATTTGAATTGGATTCTCCCCATATTGGATAAGCAAGGAAGGACAGATTCGGGGTTTAAAGGTTACAAAACCCATACTTCTGGCCTCTATTTTCTCTCTTCTCCACCTTCAGAACTTGTGCAGACAAAATAGCTAAGCTCCTTGACAAATATTAAATCCCATATTTGGTTCCCAGGTGCTATCACAACATGAAAAGCCCTTTTCAGGAGCAGATGATTGCATCCTTTAGTGAGATACAAGATAGCTTGCATCTTGCATCTATTCATCCATTTCTTTATCCATCATAGCTTGGAGAAGAGGATGCAGAAATTCAAACAAATCATGCTGAAATGTATAGGACAGAACTAAGGAATCTGCCCCGAAGAGAGGCTAGATCACTAGACCACTGTGTCCCAGAGCAATGGGACCCAAGGTGAAGAAAAGAGTAGGCACGGAGAGAGAGCAAGGCAAGCACAGTGATGTATTTTTACTTCCTTAATGCCTTTTGCCCATGCTACCACATGCAGCGCTGACAGATAACAAGAGTCTTTATTGGCCCCAGAGTTGGGCACTTTCTTAAGCTCTCTCTTTGCAGAGTGTATTTTCTGCATTGTGCTGGTACCTACACATCCTTACTAGAGTCTAGCACTTTGGGACATCACCTCATCTCCCAAAATACCTATCCTGAAAGACTTCACGTTGCCCTCCCATGTTGCCTGGCATCCTGCCTAAAGTAGACTCCCTGCTAGACCTGATTTCAGCTTCCCTTTGGGTCTGAATGTGGCTGTTGAGTTTATTCTCACCTGCCTTTCCTGATTGTTAACTAAGACTCTGGGACATTTCTTCCCAGCTGTAGTTGGGACACAGGGCTCCTCTCTACTCTGCCGTGAAGCAGGGTAGAGAGGATGCGAGGTCTTCAAGATCCCTTAGGATGGCAGGAGCTGTCTGCCTGACCCCAGATGAGGGTGCACTCACCTGCAAATGATACAGTCCTACTTAAAAAGAGCAGCTGTAGCTAGTTTTGCTTTCTGGTTCAGACCTTTTTATAATGCTACTCAGAAAGCCCATGAGAACAGGCTATGAGAGAATGAACTGATGCCCCATGGACTTGGCAGACAGAGGAAAAACATCTCCATGTCCCCTTGGGTGCCATTTCCATGGGCTTCCCACGGTTCCTGTCTAGAGAGAGCAACCTCAAAGCACCCATTGCCTCTGCCATCACTCCCACACTCACATATACGGGTCTCTCGACAACTAGCTCTCACTCCTTCAAGCTAACCCAAGCACACACTGTCAGCGGCAGGGTTAATGTGTTTCTTCATGAGCCACTCTCTAGACACCACAGACAACATGTGTGACTAGGCATGGTCCTTGGGCTTTAGGAGTTTGCAACCTCTCTAAAAATACAAAAGTATAGCCCCATAATTCAAAATAGGGGCATGCATTTCTCCATATCTTTCCCTATCCTTTCTTCTGGTTGACGAAACAGCCCTTAATGTAGAAAAACTGCTCTTCGTTGCCCCTGGATTACAGATAAAGCCCAGATGAGATGACAGCTTTTTGTCCTAGGTCATGTAGTTAATGAGTGATAATACTGGTGGGAGGACCAGGTATTCTGACTCTTTGTTTATTCACATTAAACAAATGTTTGTCAAAGGGTTACAATGTTATAAGCAAAGCAGATGAAAAAAAATCATCCCAACTACCTTATCCAGGATATTAAGGTATTCTCAGTACCTCAGGATGCTTGATGGCTCTCTTCCAGTGACATGTCCCCTACGTCATACCCAGCAGGGGTACCCTCATACTTTATTAATATTTAACACTGACCTATTCTGTCTGCCATCCTTTCTCAGTGTGCCTCACACGTGAGTCTGACTTTGTCATTGCCACTGTCATCTCTGAACACAGAAACAGAATTACTTTCTTATCAATCAGCCATTAAGTATGTACTGGTCACCTAGATCTGGCAATGGAATTAATGATTCATTCATTGTGTAATAAGCACATCCTCAGTGCTAATTTTGTGCAGGCACTGTGCTGAGTTTAGGGGTGAGACAGATGAAGAAGACAAAGTCCTTGCCTTCAGGGTGCTCACAGACACCTATGCAAGCAATCCTGAAATGGTATAGAAGAGCAGTGAATGCCACAGATTATTTTTTCTCAGAGTTTTATTTTTTTATTTTGTCTTATTATACTTTAAGTTCTGAGATACATGTGCAGTGTGCAGGCTTGTTAACATAGGTATACATGTGCCACGGTGGTTTGCTGCACCCATCAACCAGTCATCTACATTAGGTATTTCTCCTAATGCTATTCTTCCCCTAGCCCCCAACCCCCAACAGGTCCCAGTGTGTGATGTTCCCCTCCCTGTGTCCATGTGTTCTCATTGTTCAACTCCCACTTAAGAGAGAACATGCGGTGTTTGGTTTTCTGTCTTTGTGTTAGTTTGCTGAGAATGATGGTTTCCAGCTTCATCCATGTCCCTACAAAGGACATGAACTATTCTTTTTTATGCAAATGCCACACATTTTTATGGGAACTCAAGAGGGGCATTTATTTAGTCACTGGGTGAGTCCAAAAAGAGGGTATCAGTAGACAGAAAATCACGAAAGAAACAGAATTCTCTATAGAGGAATTATTCACAGTTGTGGCTTGCCTGAAGCATGGAGTCAACCAAAAAGGAAAGGAAGAGGTGGACAGATGTGAACAGATGATAGGCTGTGAACTCAACGACTTCATCCTGTAGGAATCGGGAGGTGAATAAATGGTTTTTAGCCGAGATATCATAGGTAGACATGTGTTTCAGATTGCTGTTGTAGAAGCTGTTGGAAGGGTGAATTTGAGGAGGATGGGAGTGAATGTGCTTATGAATTTAGTCAGGTAAGACAGAAACTTAAGATACACAACGTTTTCTCATCCTTCACATCCAATTATCCAACTGATCTTGTCTATTTTTCCTTCTAAAAATCTTTTGCCCTTTTCCTCTTATTTCCATCTTTACCACCACTACTATATTCAAGTAGCTACAACAGTGGCCATGTGACGACTAGTGCTTTGGCTTTTAGGAAAGTCTTCTACTCATTGTGAGCTTGTCCATCTTGGTCAGAGCATGACATTTGTTCTGCAACCCACCCAGTCTTGGTGTCCACATACCAATTTCCCATAGATGAAAGCTTATAAGCTGCCAGGATTGTTGGACAGGAGGACTGTCCACAGGTTAGCATCTGTGGGGCGAAGTCGGGGAAGAGAATCTGCAGAAGTTGGGTGAACGTCTCAGTTTTCCTTGAGATTGACATTCCTTTTTCTCCTTTCCATTTTTAGGACTCTGAGTACTTGTATCCTTTCCCTCAGCTCTATTCACCCTTTTCGCTTCTCTGTTCTCTTCCTCCACATCCCATCTTCTCTAGTAGTTGTGTGTAGAAACAAATAAACAAGGCCAGGCGCGGTGGCTCAAGCCTGTAATCCAAGCACTTTGGGAGGCCGAGGTGGGTCGATCACAAGGTCAACATATCGAGACCATCCTGGTCAACATGGTGAAACCCCGTCTCTACTAAAGATACAAAAAATTAGCTGGGCATGGTGGCACGTGCCTGTAATCCCAGCTACTCAGGAGGCTGAGGCAGGAGAATTGCCTGAACCCAGGAGGTGGAGGTTGCAGTGAGCCAAGATCGTGCCATTGCACTCCAGCCTGGGTAACAAGAGCGAAACTCCGTCTCAAAAAAAAAAAAAAAAAAAAAAAAAAGAAACAAATAAACAAAAATCTAGTCTGTAAGCCTATATCATCTGAGCTTTTCCATCTTTCCACTTTGGACCTGCCTGTAGCTTCTCTGGATTTTAGTTTTTGGTTCATTGTGAGTTATAGATATGTAAAGATGATTTGTGGGGGTACAGATTAGGGACTAGAAGGGGAAAGAAATACATAGAAATAAACTGGCAGTTTATTCAAAATATAAATCACCTTTCTAAAGTGGCCTCCTAATTTTTACTCTTACCTACATTCATTCATTAGACAAGGCAAGTTTTATACTGGAAAGTGAAAGTAAGGCTGCAGAAGATTAAGATCAGGTTATACGAGGTCATATGAAAAAGACTGAACATTTTATACCAAAGGGCAGTACTGGGCACAGTATTCTCCAAAATGTGAAACTTCATGAAAATCTGTTTGTAGATACGAAGAACTTTCTGGTATATGAGAACTTTGTTGTCTTCTTGTGTGCCATTCAAATCTTTATGCATCAAAGACACTATTAATTCATTAATTCAATCAAGAGTAAAGGTTACAATGGACAAGACACTGTAGATAGAAATGTGGAAACAACAGTGAATAGACCCTGTCCCTGACCCTGAGAAGCGAGCTCAGAATTGTGGTGACAAGAGGGTTTGGAAGGAGTTGTCTTGAGAAAGAAGCACAAGGTGCTGCAGGAACACCTGGAAAGGGCACCAGGCCCACTGGAGAGGTCAGGAAATGTCCCTGAAGGAGAGCCCCTGCCATTCTAAGTCAGGAGAAGGGAGGCACTGAGATGCTCCAGGGGGAGGTAACAGCTGTGTAAAGGCTTAAAAGGGACAGGGCATTCTGTCCTGGGACTCAGAACATGCCAATTGTTCGTTGTCTCTGCAGCATTGTACAGAGGGGAAGCAGTGAAGCTTGAGAGGTAAACAGAGCCAGATCACTAAGACATTTTACTATGTTTATTAAATAGTGGCAGTTTTAGGTCTGGGAGATAGTATGAATAAGACAAATTCTTTATCCTCAAAAACCTTATCTTGTGGTAATGAAACCAGAAAATAAATGACATATATATGTAATATGCTAGGGCATAAAATGCTGAAAATGAAAAATAAGGTAGATAAAGATGAGAGCGAATCTAGGCAGGAATTGAGCTCCCTGTTGTAGTTGTTGTTATGTTATAAGATCAAGCGTCCTGTAAAAGGGTGTACTTGAGCTGGGATCTGTATGGAGGGAGGGGGTAAGTCATGTGAGTTTCTGGAGGACGAACATTCCAGGTAGTGAGAACACATCAACAAGTGTGAGCACTGATGTTGAAGCATGCTTGATGAGGTTAGGAAAATATTTGGAAGCTAGTGTGGGTGACGAAGAGTGAATCACTGACAGAGTAGTAGAAGATGATATTGGGCTGATGGAGGGAAGATAGATCTTATAGATCTTTATATGCTTTTCAAGTGACTGTGAATTTTTCCTGGGTAAAACAGGATGCCATTGGAATATATTAAACTTGATCTGCCTTGTGTATTAAACTAATCAGTCTAACTTCACTGTGGGGGAAAACAGACTGTAAAGCAAATGTGGATGAAGGAAGACTCACCAGAAGGCTGTTATAATAATTCAGGTCCAAGATTATGGCTTTCATCAGAGTGGTACCAATAGAGGTGGTATAAAGTGACTTGATTTTAGACATTAATGTCTGAGATATCTAGAAGAAAAGGTCACCAGGATTTACTAATAGGTTAGATGTAGCATCGGAGTGATGGGAAGACATCAGGAATAACTCTAAGTGCTTTGTCTCAGCAAATTGGAAAGTAGAGTTACTGAGTTAGGGAAGATTGGGGGTGAGCATGCTTTTTTCTTGATGGGAATATTAGGATACATTAGACGTTGAGTCTAAGATGATTATGAGACACACAGCACTACTTGAGTGGGATGAGTCTGAACTACAAATATTAATTGGGATTTTGTCAGCATAGAGATGGTATTCAAAGACAAAATACTGGATGCAATGACCAAAGAAGGGATTACGACAAAGCAAAAAGGTCTGAGACCAAAGTCCCAGGACATTTCAACATATGAAGATGAAGACTAAAAGCAATTGAGACTGAAATGTTGTTGTCAAACAGGCTGAGGATTTGACATAAATCTTACAGTACTGTAAGTACTTACTTATAGAACTGGGTCCTATTGCATAAGTAGCCAGTAGTATAGTCAGTAAATTTCCTGTAGGGAATAATGAGGAAACCAGAAAAGAAATAGCCTATATGTAATATGTTGGGGAATAAAAATGCTAAGAATTAAAAATATGACAGGTAAGGATGAGAGTGAATACAGGAAGAAATTGAGGGACAGGTGTTATTATTATTACTATTATCATAACATCAAGGGTCCTGTGCTAAGGTGCAGTTGGGCAGAAATCTGTATAAAGTGAGGGGGTAAGCCTGTAGAGATGAATGATTACTTCTACTTCCTTTCTTGACCTGATACCAACTATAGAGCCTATCTTAAATTAGTGATGTTAGTGTGGCCTTAAAATATATGCTTTAAATAATTAATGGACATACCCAGGGTGGACCTAATTATCTTTCTGGATTAAGCCATTACCTGACCATTATGCCACAAATTAAAAATTCATAAGTAAATGACCCTAATTGATTTATAGTCATTTTCCATTTCTGATGGGGCAGAATGTTGAAGGAGGACTGAGAGAAATGCTGAAATATGCTTTACTCAGGAAAGATCGTCAGGCAGAAATATATTTGTAAGATTTGAAGATTTAATTTGCGCTTTTTCTTCCTAATTTGACTGAAAATTTCTAGAGTTTAGAGTTGTGTTTTTTTAAATTAATTTTTTTTGCTTTTTATGTTTCCTAGTAAAAATTACATGTATTTATATTTATAAATATGATTTACGTATTTAAGATATACTTTATAAATATAATTTTATATATGTTCGTAGAATTTTTACAAATATAAATTATATACCTATATATTATTGGTAGCAATATAGCATTAAAGTTAAGAGTGTGTGTGTGGGGGGCTCTGGAGTCAGTCTGCATGAATGTGCTCTGCCATCAGTAACACCAGTTATTAGATGTTTAAGTAAGCTACTTAACATCTGATGCCTCAATTTTCTTATTGACAATACAAGTGACTATCTTACAAGATTTCAGATATAAAATGTGTTAGTACATATAAAAAACACTTAGATGCTCCTCTCCCTGTGTCCATGTGTTCTCACTGTTCAACACCCGCCTATGAGTGAGAACATGAGGTGTTTGATTTTCTGTTGTATCAGTTTGCTGAGAATGATGGTTTCCAGGTTCATTCATGTCCCTACAAAGGACACGAACTCATTGTTTTTTATGGCTGCATAGTATTCCATGGTGTATATGTGCCACATTTTCCCTGTCCAGTCTATCATTGATGGGCATTTGGGTTGGTTCCAAGTCTTTGCTATTGTAAACAGTGCTGCAATGAACATTCTGGAAGGAAGGCAGCAAACCACATTGCTATGTATGTACCTATGCGACAATATTGCATGTTCTTCACATGTACCCCAAAACCTAAAATGCAATAAAATATATATTAAAAAAAGAAAAAAAATCAGTTAAAAAACCACTTAGAACCATGACTTGTCAGAGGAAATAATAAATGGCAATTTAAATTACTGGAACAGCTGGAAAATACTTTAAGTTACTAGAACAGTTGGAAAATATTTCTCACAAAGGAGTGACTTTTCGTAATGTGTCATTCTAACTGCTGTGAAGTAGATAAGAATAGAAAGGCTATCGGCAGGGACAGAAGGCAACAACAGTTTGACCAAACAGTGGTGAGAAGGACAAATTCTAGATCTAAGACTAATTTTAGACTGTTCATCTCTTCATTTCCTTGTCTTTACCTTCTTATTTGTAAAATAGTCAAACTAGCTGATGTTCTAGATACATTCCAACTTTAATGTTAAATAATTATATGCTTAGCTACAATGGGCACCAGATCTTTGGTTGTTTCTTGTTTTTGACTGATAACATGACCTGAAGTTTACCATCTCGAGAGGTCCATCTAGTGCTAGAATTCTACCATTTTATGTTTCTTTGGAATGGAGAATTTTTATCACAGCTCTACGTATCTGTTTGGTTTTCACACTGTAGATGATGGGGTTCATCACAGGGGGGATCAGCAGGTAGGTGTTAGCAACCATAGTATGTACATAGGCTGGGGCTTGTTTCCCAAACCTGTGGACAAAGGACAGGGTGATCAATGGAATGTAAAATACAGCAACAGCCACAATGTGGGAGACACATGTGCTGAAGGTTTTCTTCCTCTCTTCTGGGGAAGCAATGCTGAGGACAGTCCTAATGATCAAAACGTAGGAAAGGAGGATGAGAACGGAGTCTACACCAACAGTGGAGAACATGGCAGTCAACCCAACTGCACTGTTGATCCTGGTGTCTGTGCATGAGAGCCTCATCACATCAGGGTGGAAGCAGTAGGAGTGGTGGAGCACGTGGTTGTGGCAGTAGGACAGTTTTGTAAGAAGTGCTACCATTGTTGTCAGCATTAGGATTCCCCTGATGACACTTGCCACTCCAATTTGAACTATTCTGGAGTCAGTTAAAACTATGGCATACCTGAGGGGGTTAGAGATGGCCACAAAACGATCGAAAGCCATGGCCAGCAGCACTGAGGATTCCATGACAGTGAAGAATTTAATAAAGAACATCTGGGACAAGCAGGCATTAAAGCTGATTTCCCTCAGATTGAACCAGAATATACCCAGCATGGTGACCAGAGTGGATATGGACAGCCCGAGGTCAGTTGTGGACAGCATGGACAGGAAATAGTACATGGGTTCGTGCAGGCTGGGCTGAGTGATGATGGCGAAGAGGATCAGGCTGTTTCCTGAGAGGGCAGTTACATAGAGGAAGCAGAAGGGAATGGAGATCCAGGTGTGGAAGGCTTCCAGCCCAGGAACACCAGTGAGCAGGAAAATGATGGAAGTGGAGGTGATATTCTGTAAAATTGACATGCTGAATTAAAAGTGCAGAACAAGATGAGAGCTTGAAACAAAAAAAGCTAAGTTTGTTTGTGTATTGGTCTAATTAAAATAATTTTATTGTACAGAAAACTAACCAAAGTGAGTATTTATATAATATGAAACTATAAATGGCTCATTTAAACTGATTAAAAAATGTCAGATTTCAACTGATATAGTGGGTACTTTGCTTTGTTTCTGAATTTGCCTCAGTGCACGATCTTTCTTCTCTGGTGCTCTTTGCTGGCAGCTATGTTTATATCATGTGTTCAGTCCTCTGAATATTCTAGTCATAGATAACTCAACTCAGAATAAACACTTTATGCCAAGTGTGCCAATCATATTTCATTCTTTCTGGCATGTTTAAATTGTGTTACAGAGGTAGCGGGTTTTTTTTTCTGTATGGTTGGCTCCAGAGAAAAATACACTGGGGCCGTGGAACAGCAATATTACATTGGTCATAAGTGTGGAAAGCAGAGAAGCCTACAGACAATTTGGGAAGCCAGAAAATATGGAGAGGGAGATCATTATAATACAAAGTAACACATATGAAGTGACAAATAAATGGCTTCAGCATCTGACCATTCAACAGACCCTTACAATGTGACACCTGGAATCACATTTGGGAGAGACAGTGAGTTAGAACACAAACCACCTACCAGGCTTAGGAAGAGAGGAGGCTGCCCCCCCTCAACCTGATATAATGTGCTGCCATGTTCCAATACATTTCTTTCTTCAGTCTGCTTGAAGACTAGTTCTCCAGAACAGAGTATCTCCATTTTGTTAAGACACGCTTCTTAGGAGATATCTAATAGAATGTTTCTGTTTGTTTTGGAGGGAAAAATATAACTTTATTGCAAACATCACATTTCTTTTTTCATTGAGTAGAGAATTGCAGAAAGGTAGATGGGTATGGGTGAGTTGGAGACAGGGGTCTGGGGAATAACAGAGATTTGGGCTTTGGCTGCAGAGGGCTCCATCAATGAGAGATAGCCAGTTGCAGGGTAACTGTTCTTCAGGGGAAAAGAAAGGGTGCTGAGTGGCTGACAGTTCATGTTGATAGAAGAGAGGATGGAGAGGAACCTCAATATTTCTAGACTCACACATTCACCCTGATAAAGTGCCACCTCAAGGATCACTGGAAGAAGTGTTAGTGAAAAAAAGGAGGGAGTGAGATTTAACTGAAATTGTCAGAAAACTAGAGGAAAAACAAGAAACATTAGTTACATGATTTGGCCAAATAATGAAACCATAGCTTTAGACTCTGAAATTTACAGTAATGAGAGTGTCCTCAGGGAAGTGATGAAAATATCTAAAATGTACGATCAAATCCCTTAAGAGAAATAAGAATTATAGTTAATGTATAGTATATTTCTAAAAAACGAGAAGAGAGAATTTTAAATGTTCACACCACAAAGAAATGATAAATATTTGAGGTAATGTATATGATAATTAGTCTGATTTAATTATTCCACAATGCATACATGTATTGCAACATCACATTTTACCCCACAAATATACACCATATTATTTGTCAACTAGAAATAAGATAAAAATAATAAAAAAAACCAAAACACATGAAAGAGGAATTAACAGAAGAGAACATTTAATAGGTTTGCAGTATTTGGAGAAGGCTTTGTAGAAGAAGCAGTGCTTGAAAGAGTTCTGTGTTTTATTATAAGTTGAGATGAAGAATTTTCAGGCTTTCAGAATGGCATGTGTAAAAGTGTTGAGCAGGAATGTACCTGTAGCATTTCTTTCTTGATCTTGCTTTACTCTCTCAGGGACATTAACTGAGTATCTGCATCTTACATAGCGTTATGTCAGAAGCTAAGGGATGACACAAACACAACCCCTCTTAGAGAGTTTCTAATACAGTGAGGGAGAAAGAGCAGAATGATTGTTCAGTAACTTCAATATCTCGTATACAGTGATGAATAATAAAAATGGTTATGAAAGCACAGAGGGGTTCCATTTATGTCAATTAATCTGGCTTTCATAATTTTTAGTTTCCATGTAAAGCCTGAGTTGTAATTTTTGTCATTGTGTTGTAGGAAATTTTATGTAATCACTTTAAACAATTAAATTGCTATTTGAATAATTTCTCTTTCATCCTAACTTCTTCATGGCTCCCCTTACCTCATTTCAACATATTCACTGCCTATTTTCATTTTTCTTGGAAGGTTTTTTTCTTCTTCTTGCTGAGAGATCATAAACAAAACAAAAGAAAACCATACTGTATATAGTTTGACCTGATCTGTGTTTGTCCCAGCAAAAAAGAAATGATTTCTCTCCTTTCCATCATACTACAACTATATCTTCCTGCATCTTTCCCACATCCATGCTGGACTCAGAAACAGAGGGATCCTTATTCCTTTTCATAACCAATAACTCTACTTAAGTTCCTGACCATCAACCACAAACACTTAGTTCAGTTCAAATTGAACTGAACTAGATATGTATACAGGGAGCTGAGCTTGCTGTGTCAAGAGTCTAGGGACTTTTATTGAAAATAAGAAATGACTAATTTAAAGCATCTACTACATGCCAGGCATTTAATCAGGCACAGTGCATACCAGCAGTGTCAGAGACAAAGAGATACATGCTACTAGTTGCAGAGTGTATAAGGATAGGATGTATCTAACAGATAAGGCAGAAGAGATAATAATGTGTAGTGGTAGATTTGGAGTATGTGCATACATGAATGTGTCAAGAAGAACTAGTTCCAAGAATCTTAACAGAGTGTATGATTTATAATTGTGTGAAGTTTTGATGGGTAGATGTGAATTTACAAGGATAAAAACAGGAAAGTGTGCTTTTGCCATGTCATTTATAACATGAGGAGAGATATGAATAAAAGAATAACCTAAGCCAGTTTGCTGGATAACTACAAGAGAAGGAGTATATGGAAGTGTTAAATGTGAGGCTAGGTGCTGTGGGAAATGAAGCTAGAGAAAGCATCAGAGGTCAAATCTTGAAAATCTTGAATTCCATGGAAAGTGGAATGAACTTAAGTTTTTGCAGAGCATCAAGAGCCAGACATTTCTAAATATTTTATTATTCACCTTTTATTCACCACTGGAAGCAATGAGCTTTGCTTTTAATAAATAAATCATTCTGCATCTCTTCTCATTTAACACCAACAAAATTCTTTTCCCTCTTTAGTATCTTGTTTATTACAAATTGGTTGCTTTCTTGCAGTCTGCAATGCTCAAGTGTTACTCTAACTCAACATAAAAGCTTCCCACCGTTTTATATAGGTATTTCAACCAGGATACATTGAATAGTTTTCATAATTAGCCTTGTGCTGCTATAGTGAGGGATACAAGACATAAAAACCCTGTTTCTCTCTCAGTTTCCTGCCGTATCTTTTCTAAGGATAAAAATTTCTTTGGAAAACAATCTGCTTTTGTTTATTCTTCCTTCACCTTCAGTAACAATCTGAATTCTTTCCCTAATGATTCTGAAAATCCTCCAAATGATGTTAGCCGTGATTTTCTACATGCCAAGTCCAAAAGTTTAATCTCAGATTTGTTTTTCTCTCCCTCATCTCAACTTTCAGCAATGTTTACCTCCTCCTCCTTGAAATTAAACTTTCTCCTTTATTAGCTTCGTTAATGGTCATTTTGTGAGTTTTTTCCTGTTTGTCAAACAATGGTTTTGTTCTCTGCCTTATAAATTGTAGGATTCTAGAGGAGTCTACTTTTCTACCAAGAAGTTCCTCTTCTTTTCTTGCTTTTCATTCGCTCTTCTTGAGATAGCTTAATTATTCTCATGGGTTTAAATATCACTTATATTCAGAAGATTAATAAATCTGCAATCTAATTATAGCATCTCCTGAGTTCTATATTTTAAAAGTTAGCAGAATCTTTAATGCTGTGTCATGGTTTCTGCTTTTAAGCGTGAAGGTAGTAATGGGACATGAAAATACAGTGAAAGCAATCAAACCTGTAATTTAGAAAAATAATTAACAGCAGTGTGGAGAACAAAGCTCCTTGCTTCAAGTGGTGAATAAAAGGTGAATAAAATACTGTGTTCTCCACCCATCATCCCTCAGTTATTTCAACCTCTATATGAGAAAAACAGAACTCATTCTCTCCTCTCTCCAAACCTGGCTCTCCCTCCTGTTTCATTTATCAGCAGATGACATCGAACTCTAGCAAAGCATTGAATTAAAATTACTACCCAACACACACACACACACACACACACACACACACACACACACACACACCCTCCTCTTGCTCTCTCATCCCCTACATATGAAGAGTAGTTTTTAATTAATTAATTCTATTTCTGAAACATCAAAAATGAGAACCTCAGGAGGTCTATATAAGAAGGCCAAGCAATTGTCACTAGTGGACACTTGAAGCTGTTATTTCATTGTGCTTTTCTTACATTGAAAAAACCTTAACTGTTTATATCCAAGACTAGAGGAGGACTAATGGATAGTCTTAGAAGGAGGCAGTAAATTTCCCCCAAGCTTCTCTTTTGTGCTGACTTCACTCTCAAATCTTTCGAATCCATCCTCTCTAATCCATATATTCCTTCATTTTCTCTCTTGTGAAATAAGCTATATTCTCAGCTAATTTTCCTGTCCATTCAGATTACAACGATGCTCTTTTTCATGGCACTATTATAAGTTACAGCCTGTGGCTGTCTTAATCTGCTGAACTAGACCATATAGTGTCATCAGTATTCTCCATGCTATTGCCAATGGTATGGCTATTGTGTATGACTGACCCAGGTTCAGATTCTTGCTCAAACAGTAACTAGTTTTGAGACCATCTACAACATTAATAAAAACATTATTCATAGAGATAGTTACTATTTGTTGGACCCTTGTTCTGTGAACATTATTGTCCTACGTGCTTTAGAAGCATTATTTTAATTCTTACTATAGCATCACGTGACAAGTAACAGATTCACCTTAAATTCTTTTTTCTGGTAAAGACACTGAGAATCTGAGGTTCTGAAACATTTGAAATCACACACAGAACTAGTGAAAGTCAGAGCTGAGTTTTTAACCCAGGTCTTTTTAATTCCAAATCTCGTGCCTCAAAAACAATTGTTTTACTGAAATCTACAAGTAATACAAACTTTCTGTGACCCAGTTTCCTCATCTATAAGGCAGGATGTGCACCGTGTCTAATACCAGTAGCTTGCATGCAACGTGTTCAAAATTGGTAATTTTTCATTTTTAGTATGAGTTATTGGGCATAGAAATGAGATTCCCTGACTGTGATAAATATATTAGCACACTGATTACACCGTTTGATTAACAACAAGTTATCCAACCTTTATCTGGCAGAACAAAATACTCATTCTCTACATATTTCCTGGGAATAAATAATTCTGCAGATTCGACCATCCTCCTCAGCCCACCATCCCAATATCTAATCAAATTCTGCACACTGGGAGAAAGTCCAATTCATCTAGAGTCAAGCATTTTCATGGAACAAAACAGTTTTACTTACAGAGCCCATACAGTAGATCGGCCTGTCCCTTTCAGGCTGACTCAGAAGACTAAGGAGGCTTTAGATTCCAGGGGAGGGCCGAGCTTACAAATATAAGGAGACTTATTCCAGCCTGATTGGAGACAGGCACAGAGCTGAGAGGCCAATTCCTGGTGGTGGTGCTAACTCACTGTGTCTCCAGGGTGTGGAGATTCCCAGAAGACTTCTTTTGCCTCATACAGTCCTTTTATATCTGTTCCATTATGCAATGACTTATTGTGGCTATGTGCTTTATGGGCTGATGGAACTTTTTGTTCATGTGTTATTTTACTCAAAAGCTTTTTTATTTAACAGCTTTATTGCTATATAATTCACATACTATAAAATTCACCCATTTATAGTGTATGATTCAATTGTTTTTAGTAAAGTCACAGAACTGTGCAGAAACCATCATCACAATTTAATTTGAGAACATTTCCATTACCCTTAAAAGGAACCCTATCATCTCTAGCAGTTACTCTGAAGGAGATTAAAAAAATGAAATATTGTAGCAAATTGCTAAATGGCATCTCCCTTTATGAGTGAGAGTCAAAACCCTCCTTAACTCCTCAGTATCTATCATTATTCACAGCAGGATGGTTTCATTAGCCTACCTGTGGGTCTTTGCAGCAGCAGTCTTTTATAGTTAAAAATACATTTACTAGCCGGGCACGGTGGCTCACGCCTGTAATCCCAGCACTTTGGGAGGCTGAGGCGGGTGGATCACGAGGTCAAGAGATCAAGACCATCCTGGTCAACATGGTGAAACCCCGTCTCTACTAAAAATACAAAAAATCAGCTGGGCATGGTGGCGCATGCCTGTAATCCCAGCTACTCAGGAGGCTGAGGCAGGAGAATTGCCTGAACCCAGGAGGCGGAGGTTGCGGTGAGCCGAGATCGCGCCATTGCACTCCAGCTTGGGTAACAAGAGCGAAACTCCATCTCAAAAAATAAAGGAAAAAAAAATGCATTTACTAATCCATACATATATCTAGTAAATATTTCATAAGAACGTCCTATGTTCTAAACATTATGCTCAGTGATAGATTTTTTTTAAAAGGAATACACTGTAATTCTTACTGTTTAGGATTTCAGTGTAGAGTAGATTTCATGTTAACTAATGATAGGTTATCCTAGAGGCATGAACCAAATGCTTGGTCAATACAGTAGGTAAAAATCTTAGTCCACAATTTATTGTACATAAAATACAGTTTCATTTACTTTTTTATAATTTGACCTATTTTGTATTTTGAAGTCCTAACCCAACGGGTTGAAGAGAATTAGTCACAATATTTTGGGTTTCTCCCTACTTATAGTCAAATTTAAAAAATCTTGTATCATACGAAGAAAAATTGTGGGTAGAGAGGTGATTGATTTGGCCAATGATATCACCTGTTGTCAGGTTACTATTGCTCTCATTAGTCTTTAATGAATAGCATGCATAGGTCGGTATAAGTTGTTCATCTTGTCTCCTTATGGCCTCTTTAGATCCTTTGATATTCCCACCAATTTTGGACCGCTCTTGGGTATATGGGTCTTTGATTCATTCTCGGTTTCTGTCTCTTACACCTTGCATTTAATCCATCGATAAATCTTGTCAATCTCTTTGAAAACTATAACTAGAAATTGATCAATCTTTATAATCTCCAGAAATGTCACCTTTAAGTCACAATTATCTCTCACTTGGGTAGTGTCAGAAGTTTCCTAACCATTCTTGCTGCTTCCAATATTATCTTCTTTCCATGTCTGTTTCACTACTGAAAATGTCATGGCCTGAAATATTTTCTTCTTCATAATTTAATAAAAACAATAAATAATAAGAACCATAATATTTTATTATGCATTCTACATGTATGATTCCATGCTAAGTGTTTGTGGTAGGCAGGATAATGGCCCCCAAAGATATCTATGTCTTAATGCCTGGAACCTACGAATATGTGATATTACATGGCAAAGGGACTTTGCAGATGTGATTAAAATTAAATAACTTGAGATGGCAAGATTAGATGGATTAGCTGGATGGGTCCAATGTGTTCACATGAATCTTTAAAAGTGGAGAACCAGAGAGATGGCAGCATGAGAAGGATTTGATCCACTCTTGCTGGCTTTGAAGATGTCAGAAGGAGGCCACAAGCCAAGGAATGTGGGACTCCTCCAGAAGGAGAAAAGAAGAGAATTGATTTTTCATAGCCCCTCTACAAAGAAATGCAGCCTGGTGATGCCTTGATTTTAGCTCAGTGAGATCCCTGTCAACTTTTGACCTACCCAAATCTACTATAATATATTCAGTAGAAAAATCAGTTATTAGTTTATGTCTTAAACTATGTTTAAACCAAAAACTAGAGTTTAAGTAACTTACTTTGGTTTCTCAGTTATAAGTGGAACAACCAGTATTCAAAGCCTGGGCTACCTGACACTCAAAGTTTTCAAAACTCATTTTCTAGAGTCTTCATATGACCATTCATCTACCACTACTTTCAATTCGAGTTATTTATACCCAAAAGCCTGCAGGCATGCTGATGTGACAAACTGAATGTTAACAGGTTGTCACTTGTGCATGCTTATACCTTGCACATAAAGATTTTTTGTTATTGTGTTTCCTCACAGTAAACTTCTTGAGACCTTTAAAAACACTTTCTCTATCAAGTTGGGCAAATTCTAGAGCTGACTCCTTTCCCACTAGTCTCAGAAACTATTTGGGAATGTTCTCATATTTGCTATCTTATGGCTGAAAGAATGTTACTCTTATCAGAGCAATGGAGTTACTATAGTTGTACCATGTAAATTCTGTGCCAGAGCTTAGTACATGACAATGGGACTAGTGTGCATACCGGCCAAAGCACCAATACACACAGTGGTACACATACTTCAAAATATGGCCCTTCTTACTGCCCTATTCTCAAGCCAGCCTAGCAGAACAATAGCTTGTAATTTAATTAAAGTTTCTGAAAATCTGAGTTCAATGTTCCTCCGTGAAATCACATAGCAAGACACTTTATCACACATTAATATTAACACCATTTAATCCAGGAAACATATCATAGTCTCTGATGCCATTTGACTTCACATTAATGTTTCTGGAACATGGTAATCTAAACAGGAAGCACTAAATTGGACACAGGAAAACTCTGCACTAGGAACTTGCAATAAGTCTTATTTATTGGCTGTCAACATTCTACTGTAGTAAACAGTAAAATATTCTTGCCTATCAGATCAGTGAATGTTTTTTAAAACGTATAATGCATAGTGTTGTGTTGCTGTGTTACAGTGGACTAGGCATTGTTTTACAATGTTTGCGTGAACTTTCTGGAAGCAGATTTTCCAGCATATTATTGTCTTAAAATGTCCATAATATTCCATTTATAAAAATTTATTGAAAGGAACATATCAGAGATGCAGGGCATATTTTTATGTACAGGAAAATTTATTGCCCCATTATTTACAGTGTTCAAAAATATAGATAAAATTCTCAATGATACAGAATATATAAAGCATTTATATCCAGTCCTAGGATATTACACAACCTTTAAAATTTGTACATGTTACAGCTCATGGGATGATCACACTTGATCAGGAAATAGAAAAGCAAGTTTCAGGCTAAGATTAGTACAAGGGGCAAACAGTTTAGGATATAAAAGAAACAAAATTTGATACAGGAGCAATAGGCCAGAGTCAAACCAGGTAATCCAGGGTTAATGTATTGAAATTGTAGAAATAAACTTAAAAGATAGCAAACAATGACAAAGCAGCAAAAACAGGTTGCTGCATGTGTCTGTTTGAATAAGTCTTCCATGTTGGAAATTTAATTCCCAAATTCATATATTGATTGGCTATGAGACCTCTGGGAGATAAGTAAGATTAGATAAGGTCATCATGATGGGACTGGTGGCTTTATAAGAAGAAAAAGAGATCTGAGTGACACACATCCCTTGCCCTTTTGCCATGTGATGTCCTTCACCATGTTGCGGCAGCACAAAAGCTCTCCCCAGATGCTGGCACCATGCTTTTGAATTTCCTAGCCTCCAGAACTGTGAGCAAAATACACTTCTTTTGCTTATAAATTACCTAGTATTTGGTATTCTTTTATAGCAAGAGAAAATAGATTAAGACACTATGTCAAAAATTATTTTGTTTATACTACTGTTTACAAAAATTATTAAAACTCTGTATCACTAACTGGTCTTCCATGGTCTGATGAAAGCCTCACTCACCTCTTTTCCTGGATCCAGCCATGTTGGATTTAGCAGTTTTCCTACCCTGCTGATATGGCCCACACTGACTATTCAGTTTTGGTGTATATAGAAATGTCACATCCTTACCTCTCCCTGTGAACTTCTGGCTATTCATAATATTGTCATTTATTCCATTCCTCTCTGCTCCCACTATATCCTGTTGCATATGCTTTCAATAAAGTTCTTAATTCATTTATTAAGAGAAATATTGTATATATACTCTACATATATCTGGTATCAAACAGATCCTGAGGGTATAAAAGTGAAGACAATAGATATCACCCCAAATATTACAATTTGAAGTCTAGTGGGGGATACATATAAGTAAATGGGAAATTAAAATACTGTTATAATTACTTTAAAAGTGGTTTTCACAGAGATCTTTGCTATTGCAGGGCCAATAATGTTAGCATCAGCTGAAAACTTGTTAGAAATGAAAAGAAAATCTGATCCTCTGAACTGGAACCTGAACTTTTGCAAGATATCTAGGGCATTAATGTGCCATTCATATTTGTGAAGCACTGGTATAGATCACGTAGGTGTAGAGACAATTTAGCCTGTATGGACAAGGGAGGCTAACCAGATGTAATAATATGATATCTGAGTGAGTGAAAAGGGTTTTGTCTGGGAAGCTAGTAGCAAGGGCAGGAGATTAGAGTAGGGTAAGGAGATGACAGGAGGTTAAGGAAATGTTCCAGGCACAGTGAACAGCTATGATGTTTCATTGGCTTGGTGGACTGAGGACCAAATTAAGGCACTGCAAAGTAGGGAAACTAAAAAGAAAAATTAAAAAAGAATAAAAATCCCACAAAATTAAGCTTCCATTAATTTATCTACAATCTGCAAATCAGAAAATCTAGGATACAAAGCTATTTTAATTTTAATACAATTAAAAAATAAAACTGTTTTGAATTATATTTGAAACAGAGTTTAAGAACGAGTAAACATCAT